TTTGGTTTTTCTCCAGTACCGGGAACCGAACTCACGACCTTGCGCTTGCCAGGCAGGCGCTTTTGCCGCTGAGCTAAATCCCCAGCCCCCTCCAGGCAAATCTCTACAAAATATTCCCCAGTGTCACCAGTGCCACACAGCTCTCCTGAGCATAGTCCTGGCTCCCTTACTAATCTTTTTTTTTTTGGTCTTTTTTGAGACAAGGTCTCACTATCCCCTACTAAGCTCTTGCCTGCTTTCCACCTGTTTCTGTAGTCATGGTACTGAGGTGGGTAGCCCAGCACCCCTAGAAGCAGCTTCTGCAACTAAGGGTAATGAATAAGGCACTTGGGACTTTCCTTGAAGGGCATACAGACAGTTGTAGACAGCAGGTGCCAAAAATGTGCCATGCAGGGGGCTGTGGGGCCCCGGGGTGAACCTCTAATCCAGGTAGGATAGGCAAGGGTAAGAAGCAGCCAGTCTCATAAGGGTAAAAGGTAAAAGAGGGGCAAGGTAAAAGAAGCACCTCATTCCTATCCTGAGGACCCGAGGATAGACTCCGGCCCTCCTATGGGCTTTTGGAGATATGGGCCTCTGAGCTCATGGAGGTAGTGACTGTTCTATCATGCCAGGGTCTAAACCAAAGAACACAGGGCTTCCACCCATGGTCTCACTGAGGCTCACCTTCCCTGACAAAGACAGAGACTTTAGTTTAGTTTTCTTTATTGGTGTGGTGTTTTAAAAGGACCCTGGCAGGAGCATGGAGACAGACAGGGTGCGGAGGGGCGGCTGCTGAGAGGAGGCTGAGCTGCAGGCTCACTTCTGCCCTGGATCCTTGGGTGTCCCTTTCTGCTGCCCCTTCAGAGCTGGCAGGCTGGGCTGTCCGTAGCCGCCAGCTCCCTCTGCACTGTCTCTGGACGATGCTCACTGTAGCTCCGAGACCCTCTTCCTCCCCGAGGCCTCAAATCCATGCTCTCACTGCCTCTTCAGTCCTGGACCCACAAAGCTGGAGGCTGACCCCACGGACCCCACCGCCTGGATGCCCCTTAACGGGCCAGCCACAGGGTGTCCAAACCATGCCCTCTTCCTGCTCTCCAGCAGCTCTGGGAATCTGCACACAGAAGGCCCAGAACAGAATGGAGGGCCTGTGCCCTCCCTCCTCTGCTCACAGCACCCACTCTGCCAGCCGCCCCAGCACTTGTCTCTCCAGCCCACATTCATGGCCACCATCCCACTCTCCTGACATAAATGAGACCATTCCTGCTCCCAACAGGTAGAAATAAATAAGCAGGTGAGAATCAGCTGATGCTTCCCTGCCCTCCAGTGTGTCCTGACCTCAGCACTCATCATCGTATTCATCCGCAAATGTTGGGAGCACCACGGTGTGCTCAGCAGGAGACAGAGGTGGCCAGGTCTTAGATGATGGGGGTGGGGGGGCAGCCAGAAGGCCTCTGGAGGGCCAAGGAGACAGTGGTCCCCTCTCGAGTGACAAGCAGAGAACGGATCACAAAAGACCATGGGCAGACAGTGTATTGGTGCAAGTTTTGTGGACAACTCGGCATGCTGTGAGCTCGCGGCAGCAGGGGGTTCTTGTTCTTGAAAAGACTGGAAATCAGGGGCTGGGGATTTAGCTGGGGCTGGGGATTTAGCTCAGCGGCAAAAGCGCCTGCCTGGCAAGCGAAAGGTCGTGAGTTCGGTTCCCGGTACTGGAGAAAAACCAAAAAAAAAAAAAAAAAAAAAAAAAAGACTGGAAATCACCTAATTTCACATGAATAGAGAACTAAGCAAATCACGGAAAACTAGTGTTGAAGTACAGCCAACCGTAAGAAGGAATTAGGGTCTCTGGCTGCTTTTACATACGCTACACTTGTGTGCGGGTGTTGCACTCCCAGAACACACACACCCAGGTACAGGAGCGGTCAGGAACGGGACAGGGACCCGCGAAGGCCGCTGCTGGCAAGGCGAGGCGTTCTCTCCACTCTGTCAAACTTCCCACGAAACCCACGCGGCACGTGGCTGAGCAGGGCTGTAGGGACTTGAAGAGGGCTGCGAAGATCACTGCGGGGGCCTGCGCGGCTCTCCGGGTGGGGCCTCTCCAACCCACGTGAGGTGGCCGAGGGGTGGCCCCGGCGCCCAGCCTTCAGCCCAGCCCGGCTCTCGGACTGCGCCTCACCAGAAGGCGCCAGGCGTGGGGCCCGGCGCTGCGGGTTCCGGGCCAGGTGGCCG